TTTTCCCTGGCTAACAAGATTTCTAATTTTAATCGAAAGAGACCGTGACTTTCAAGGCCTACTATTCTAACTTATACACAAAATTCAGTAGATTAAAAAAAAACATCTAATTTACCTTCCCCGTGATTCGTGACTCTAGATAATTCAATTGAAACATGTGCTGATATTGGATTCCAAACTTGAGCTGTTGCTGGTGACATTCTCTCTTTGACATTCGCTATACATACAAACATAAATATGTACATATACGTTTTATTTAACATCATACATTATTGTAATATATTCAGTAAATTTATTTACAACAATAATACAACCAGTGGTGTCTGACCAGTCCAGTTAAAATCATGAATAAATAATAAAACGCATATTAATTATTGACTCATTTAATGTACCTTGAAGTTGAAATGCCTGGTTCTCATTATCCACCTTTAGAAGCATGGTTGAAACCTGTAATTAGGAATACGTAAGTTCGTTATGAGACGGTAGCATTGAAAATGTGGGTTATGTGAAGTACTTTGATTTCATTTTTAAAAAATCATAGTTTTTAATGAAGGGAAGGGGATACAGCATGGAAAATATTTTTACGCCTTAAAAGAAAAATTAATACCTTAAAGTTTCTGAATGATGGTATAACATTGCACAATGCAAAAGCAAGAGATACCACAGCAAAGACTAGACGAATCAGTAACATTATAATATCCAACCTGTAAATAAATATTGGTAAATTGTTACGTTTAATGATTTTGTTAAGAAATAGCGACAGAAAGAAATTTTTTTGATTGTGTGCCAGTACAATTTTCCATGTAGCTGTTTTTTTTAGATTTTCCTTTAAAGTACCTGCTTAAATTCGTTAAGACCCAACTTTACAGATTCCATCATTAGTTTTATTACTCTAAATACTTGCTTCGAAGTAAACAAAGGGCTATTTTAAGCTTCGCTTTTTATTGTATTGCACATTAAATAAATACATGCCTCTTTCACGGTAAAAAAACATTTTATGATTTCGTTTTACACAACATTGTGTATTTATTTCACGAGACAATCTATTAAAACTATACTTGAATAGACAGACATCAACTAAAGTATATTTATCTAGATAACACCCGCAACATGGAATAGTTTTTGCTAAACCATTTCAAAATGCTTAAATAAATCAATTACATAAAGATTTCCGCTTACCAGTTTCTATTTTCGTCCATTGTAGACTGTGATTAGAACAGCACTGATCAATGTTTACAAAAAAATCAGCGCTTCAATAAAAAACTTTTAATTTCTTGCGTTATATGCTCCCCGCCATAGGTATCGTTGTTTCTAGAAAAAAAAATGTATGTTGTTAGTAATGAAATCGAACATTAAAGTTAATAAAATAAGTACATTAAAGTAACACTTATGTAGCATTAATTGGAGTATATATATATATATATATATATATATATATATATATATATATATATATATATATATATATATATATATATATATATATATATCCCTATACGTTTCATAACTTAGCAACTGCTTAAAAAATTGTAGAGTTGCTTGTCTTTAATGATAGTTTTCGATTCCGGTACTTGTGAAAATGAAAGTCAAACAGTCAAAATATTAAAGCTATACACATAATTATACTACGCTTTAATCAGTCAACAAGCAATAACTGTAGTGTTTGTTTCCTCCATTCAGAATATTATGTGTTCACCAGAAAAGCAAGTCGAGTTTGAAATAATCTTAGCAGACAAGTTCTTTAGTAGAGTGAAAGAACTTTGGCCGAGTTTTTCCTTGCGATACGTAGATATCGTAGTCACGCTCCAATTCTGATTTGTTGTGTTAACAACATTTCAGCCTAACAACCTACTGTGTCTGTAGGTTGAATGTATTCAGGAAGTAATATTAAAGTTTTATATGTTTACGTAGTTTAGGTGACATCAGTTATTTAGTTCGTGCTGCCGCTGTTTTGACTGACAAAAGTAAGTAAAACAAAATGATTTAACTGGTTTTGTTTTAATTTGGACAGATTCTTTTAAACATTATCGCTATCTCAATGTAGTCACGGTTAACTTTGTTAACACTTGGAAGGAGGGTCATTTATCCTTTTTCCTTGGGGGTGGGGGGAGGTGGGGGGGTTGGGTCGATCATAAATGACGTCACACTTGTAGGGGGGAGGGATTGTCTGTAATTTTGTGACATGTGTGTGAAGAGGGGAAGGGGGTTCAGATGGTGTGACGTCACACTTCTGCATTAAAAAAATAAATGTTAGAAAACGAATTTTAGCCGTTAATTCGCGTTTTAGAAAACTGTTTTAATGAATGGTTATAGGAATTGATATTGATTAAAATACTGAATGTTCGGATAAGATTTTGTAAAAATATCATATTCTAAGAAAAATTTAACTGCAATTTAGAGGTGTGCGTGTGTGTGTGTGTGGGGGGGGGGGGGGGTGTAACGTGAGTTAGGTACCCATCGGAGTTCGGTGGACTCAGGGACGGTCTACTGACTTGAACCAGGATTCGAACTCGAGACTTACGGGTTAGCAGTCCAGCTCTCTACCGCTAGACCACTCCGTCTCATAAGATACAAATAACTCAATCTATCATTGATTATTTTATTATACTTCTGCACATCGAACTCCAAGTCAGCAACTGTTCTCTTTTATCCGACGACTTGTTTGGCTAGTTCAGATTTGGCCTGTGGCTTACCACTCTTCCGACCTAATTGCATGCGTACTAAATCCTAAATAAAAGGTCTCAACTACCTCTGCGTGAAGGTCAAGGTTTTTTTTGCTAGCGATCACGCTGTACCTGCGTGTCATAACATGTAAAAATAATTCAAAAGGTAACCTATATCAAAGCAGACCAGGACTTGGATCGATTTTGGTCCCTTATCAGTCCATATATTATATGTCAGTGTTGTTAAACCGTGTGGTGCAGGGGCGGATTAAGCTTCAGTGGGTCTCTTGTGAAGCATTTTGGGGTCTTTATATACATATAAGGGCAATATATATATATATATATATATATATATATATATATATATATATATATATATATATATATATATATATATATATATATATATATATATATATATATATATATATATATATAAAGATGTGTCGTGAGGAGGGAGCGGGGATTGCGGATCGCGCCCGGTGGCACCATTAGGGGGGAGGGGGATGACACCGTGACGTAAAAATGTAACTATAAAGAAAACAATGCTACACCCAGCTGTATTAACAACGAATATAGATAAACATCACTAATATTACATGTGGACACTTTGAAGCTTTTACCTGGGGGGGAGGGGTAGAGGAATGACACTGTAACAATACGTATTTCTTGTTGGTATGACAATACGGTCGTTATTGTGGGTTCGTTTATCCAAGAATACGATCAACAGTGCTTTGTAACTTCAAACTTTATTTACATAGATCCATAAGAAATAATAATGATATTCCACAGTAGAAAAATGACAAATAAATTTTTTTAAAGCAATGCCGCCGAAACGAAAAACTGAGCCACAGCTATGGACTGTGTTTGTTTTATATACATTGTTATGTACGAACATTGTAAAACAAAATAAAGAATTTCAGAATCTTGCTGAATTGTTGTTTGTTCCTGAGCCAGGATACCAAATTTGGCTTGATTATCTCAAACGGCTCAAAAGTTATAGGCAAAGTTACAAGCAGATAAGTGAACATTAGTTTGGGCCTGGGAAATCGGGAAATGGAATAAATTAGGCCAGGGAAGCCTAAGTCGGAAAAACATAGTTTTGCAATCTTGTACGTATGTGTGTATATGTGTGTATGCGTGTGTGTCTGTAAACACGATAACTTGAGTAGCGTTACATCTAGGTTGATGAAATTTCATATATAAGTATAATATCAAATTTGTAGTTCTGCATAAATTTTTCTGCGATTTTCGGTATCTGGAAGTGGAACTTATTCTACTTTGAATTTTTCAAAAGCCTATTTCTTAAGTACTGTTTCAGATAGATGAACGGAATTTCAAGTATAAGTAAAAGATCTACATTTCTGCCTTCTGTCAAATTTTGAGTAATTTCCGTTGCCCGGTAGTGGTAAATTACGCTCTTTTCTGATTGCTGAAAAAAAAAACCGCATGTACTAATAATATTGCGCTCTATTTTATACACATATTGTTTGGAATTCACTTGGTTCGCAATTCTTTTTTCTACGAGATTCTATTCTATTTTAAAAAGTAATTAAAATGAATTTCAAATATTGTCTATATCCCGAGTTGCCATCCCCTGTAGTGTTATATAAAAATATTCGAGAAAGTTTAGGGGAGATTACTCCCGGCAGGGGCGGAACTACAGTGCCGCCAGACCCCACAATGCGGGGTGGCCCACGCCATTTAGGGGCCCACGGCCGACACTAATAGTTTTATTTAAGTTTTTAAAAAATCTAATTTTCTTGCAATTTTTGACTTGATGTTTTTATGTAAAACGATTACCATAGCTGTGGTTTGATTATCTTTATTCTACAGATACCAGCAGTGTTTCTTCCAGACTTTTTTCTCCGAGGGGGGGGGGCACTTGAAACTTTCGGGGGAGGGGGGGGCGGTAGACTTTCTTTGGGGGGGGGTGGGGGGGCGGACACTGTTAAAAGTATATATTCTCTACATAAATTATATAAATTTCATTTCGTTCGGGTAGGGGGGGGGGGGTTTAGCAGATGCCTGGAAGAAACTCTGGACACCATCCCCACGCTCTTGTATATTCTTTTTTCCCTTTCTTTTTAAACCACTGTGAAAGCCAAGTCCTCTCTCTTCTACAATTAAACTTAATAAAGATAAGCAAACGTTCAAACCTCTCCCATGACTTATTTCCCTTTTTTTTAAATAGTCAAATTGGGGTGCTCATAAGCTCCTTTTAATAGATTTGTACTAAACAAATTAAAAAGCAATTACTTCTCTTACTAAATATTTTTTCATAAAATACTTACTAAAGAATGACCTTGTATAAAAAGGAAATGTATTTAAAATTAACAATATAAATACAAAAAAAAAACATAAACATAATCCTAACACGAGACACCATTACTTCTACAAAGATTTCATGTTTTATATTCTTTTGGCCAGATAGATGTTAAAAGAACCCATAGCCGATAAAATGAAACTGATTTTCTCAAAACACATACATGCACTTACACTTACACACATGAAATGATTTAGTAATTTGTTTTAATTGAAAAAAAACCCATTTCATTTCAAAACCCGACCAGGCCAGCAAGGAGTATCCTATGCTCGGTTCGTATTTTGGTTTGTATATATATATTTATATATATATGGGGGGGGGGGGGGGGGCAAAATTTTTTTTGCGGGGTGGCCATTTTTTTCTAGTTCCGCCACTGACTCCCGGTTTATTTATTTCGTTTTAGCAGGTTACTCATAAGGTAGACAATATGGAGTATCAACTTTGCCAGTTATTTGACTTGTAGTAGGGTCTAAAACTTCTCGGTATTATTGGAGCGGTCCCGAATAGCTCTGGTGTCACTTGCCCCATAGACCGTCAGGTTTGAAAGGGAAACTTTACTTTAATATCAACAATAATGATGGAAGGATTCTCGTCAACGCGTTAATATCCATTGACACTAAAATTACTTAACCTATTTTTCAACCTTCCCAATAATCTACTACTTGCTATTAAACAACACTTTAAAAAAAAATGAGATGAGGTTTCATCAAATAAGCTATGTTCCCACACAAAGATACCAAGTAATTTACGTTTTCTAGGATTTCAAAAACGAAAGTCTTATATTTTGGCTTCTAGAAAGTATGTACTATTTTTTTTTAAACGACCCAATTAACTTTGTCATAGTGCTTATCCTGTTTGTGTCAGGTCGCTATTGTTGAAGCTGTAGTCAGCTTACGTAATTTAGGGTAAAACGAAAATATCATCGGGAAAACCCGTTGTAATTTGCAATTTCCGAAGAAAGATTACACACAAGTTCCCCGGGCCTACGCAAACCATAAATAATGTTTAAACAGCCCACATAAACCTGAGTCAGTGTGACCAAATATTGGCTACTAGAATCTAGCCAATAATTAATAAGTAAACAAATAAGCAAATGCAATGCACAAATGAGAGTCGACATTAAAACTAAAACAAGTTAAATATGTTGCGAGTAAATCAAACTCACACTGATTTCCACTATATTAACAGTTAACACAGTCAGTGTGAGGTTTTTGATTGATTAGGGATTAATTAGACATCACTAATATTTATAACAATAAATAAAAATAAATGTGAAATTACCATTTTACGTTCCAACAGGCCCCTAGATACGTTTTGATTTTACGTAGACCTATGACTGTAGTCTAACTCGATGAAACGTGGAGAATGTTTGGGTTCGAAACAGCCGGATATAAAATAAGTACTAGGCCTATAAAAATAAATATTGATTACCATTGAGAACAGCTGGATAAATTGGCTCAGGAACAACTCTGTTGTCAGACTCTTGTTGACATACTAGTGTCATTACAGGCTGCCGGCTAAGTAGACCAAGTACTAGCCTAGTAGTAGGCTAATAGGTCTTAAGAAACAAGACTATGTATATTCCGGTGATTGTAGATTTAAATCTCCTAGATCTAATTATTTTAACAAGCCGATATTCTTGCGTATCTTGAAAGTTGAGCTGAATGCCTAGGGGGTTGATTATGATGATAAACACTTTTTAATACACCTGGGCGGGTAGGCCCGTAGTACACACACGTAATTATTACGTGGCATTTATGCATCCATTTTTAACACAGGCCTAGAGCAGTTAATTTTTTAAATAGGCATTAAACTGGTGTGTAGTGAACGTTTGTGTGTGCTCTCGTTTTCAAACAATTATCCTACCATGAGTGTTAACGGGCACACATCTAATAACTCGACTGCAGATTTAAATAATATGGAATTTTGTTATTCTGTAACTGCCAATTTTGAAAGTAAAATTGGCAGTTACAAGTATTTTATTCATATTTGTGTAAGGTACGTCCAAAGATTTAATCCACTCTACGACATAATTTAACATATTTACTTAAAACTTGAGTTATTTCTTAAATTTCCAATATTTTAAAAGGGATGAACAAAATAACAATACTTTATTTAGTGCTACTTCAGGCTTAGCGTCACAAGGCTCTGGTACTGAGCGTACCGGGTGATACCGTTTAGGGAGTGACACTAAATTTTAGATAAATGGTAGATCTATAATTTACGTCAAAACAATATTTTATCCAGTTAAAAAATAGTAAAACAGTTTGATGGAAGGGTGTCACGAAACAAAAAAGGCAAAATTGTTGGAGAAGGGGTGTAGGGGTGGAGTGATACTCACCACATCGGGTGCAGAGTTTCTTCCAGGCATCTCTTCAGCGGGCGGAGTCCCCGCCCCCTCCCCCCCCCCCCCCCCAGAAAAAAGTCTACCACCCCCGAACGAAATGGATGTTTAGAAAATATATACATTTAACCATATCCCCCCTACCCCGTCCCCCCGGAAACTTTAGTCCGCCCCCCCCCCCCCCCCGGGAGAAAAATGTCTGGAAAAAAACCTGATCGGGTGACAAACGACTTAAAGACGCCAACGCGGCTTCATAGAAAAAGTAATAATAGCCAGCAAATTAAACGCCCCAACATACGTTTAGGGGAAAAATCCGATTTTTCTTATTGTTATAAATACATTCTTTAAGTATGAACCAGTGGCGTAGGCAGGGGGGGGGGGGGTTAGGGGGGTCATAACCCCCCCCCCCCCATAGACCCCTCGGTATATAGAAAAAGTGTGAGGGGGGGGGGGTGCAAATCGAAAGTTTGAGGGGGGGGGGGTGCAAATCGAAAGTTTGTCCCCGGGTAAAAATTGGACCCTCCCCCTTGATACGATCCTGGCTACGCCACTGGTATGAACAATAACAAACTATTAAATATCTCTAAAGTGTAAGTGGGTAAGTTTTTTTTAAAAAAATGAGAAACTGTGACGTCATAACCATGCGTTTTAACAAGTCATCTTTTAACTGATTAACTTTTGTTTTTTAGTTTCAATATATAAAATTATTAATTTACCTAATCTTTGCCAAGTTCAGTGTTTATTATAGAGAGGAACATCTGTTCCGAAATATAAAGTTTCACTTTGTGGTGTAAATGTGCTGATATGTGAAGTCTTTTTAGAGTGTTGGGAAGCGATGTCTTTCTTTCTTGGGGGGAGGGGGGGGGGAATATATGGACCAGGACCATCTCTATTACTATTAGATGCGTGACGTCATTTATAAACTTCCCCAACAGCTAAAAATAAATATTAGCAATAAAATCGGATTTTCAAGAAACGGAAAAAACAAAAACAAAAATCCATACCATAGGGGCCTACGAGATCTAGATCTAGATGTAGATAAATATTACATATTAATGTAGAGTAGAGAAACTGCCTAATTTTAAGAAACTTTAAAAAACTTATTTCATAATTTTTGTTAGGCTAATTTGGATTAGCAGATATTTATAGTTTTTGTGTCCGTTTTTTATTATAAACAAGCTAATATTTTTTTCGCATCGACTGGGCTGTATTAGTGTATTTATTTAATATTTATTAAAATTTATTTAGAATCTAGTTGACGATTCATTTTAAACAAAGTAAGTGACAGTAAGTCTTAGTTGAGTTAGTACTCTTAGAGAATCCTTAATAATTGTTAATTGTTGGCCTTATACTGGCGTAATACTGTAATAGCCTTATTTATTATTATTTAATATTTATAATAACCAGTACTGAATAGCAAGGCCATAGCCATAGTCAGTCAGTTACTATTAGTTGACTATTAGTTGACTCTAATACAAAGGAATCTTTCCATAGAACAAACTCTGCCCAAGAACTAAGTCTCTATATTGATTAAAACTAAAACAGTCAAACAGACATAGATCTAGACTAGGCTTAATAGGCCAATTTAGCTATTTTATTTGTCGCTTCGTGTATTTTATTTTATAAACACTACCGACATAAACAAAATAAAAAAAAAACAATTATGCGCTTAATTTTTATTCATTGTAGTTTAAAGTTTATATATATATATATATATATATATATATATATATATATATATATATATATATATATATATATATATATATATATATATATATATAAAGTTTATATATATATATATATATATATATATATATACAGCTCTTATTTTTTGGTTTCCAGACGTCACGCTTTTTTTGACGATTTTACCCCCCCCCCCCCACTCTCCTCCCTCAGGCGTCGTCACAAAAAGCCAGACATCCTCCCTAAATGACGTCACACCTCAGCCTACAACCTTCCCCCCCCCCCCCCCCCCCCCTCAAAATTGCTATTGAATTTTTCTTAAAACATTGATATTTTTCCAAAATCATTTCAGAACTCAGAAACAAGTGATGCCACACCATCTGACCCCCCCCCCTCCTCCCCATCATCACACACCGTCACAAAATTACGGATCCCATCTCCCCATACGAGTGTGACGTCATGTATGAACGACCCCTTACCATCCATTACTTACATACAATTTCCTAGTAGCATTATTTATTTGACATAGCTTCTCTTAATTTTTAAAACGATAATTTCAGAGCACATACATTCTATCATGGACTTGAACAAGCACCAAGAAAAGAAGTTTCAAATGTATGCTTTCAATTTCACTTGGCTAAAAAGCATAATATAATTTCTTGTAAACTAAAAAATTTGATTTGTCTTATTTCTAAAAAGATATAATGGAAATACTGTTTCCTTTTTTTTTTCAATACAAATTTTAATGAAATAGTATTTTAGTTCATAACATTTTAATAAACGCTATTAATTTATTTCAGATGTCGAATAGTAATCTCAACAACATCTTTTATTTGTTCTGCAATCGCCCTATCAATAGTAGTAAGAGATTTGAAGAACTTGTATACCAAGGTAATGAAATGTTGTTTTTTTTAAATTATTTTATTAAAATAAACAATCCTATGAGGAAATTCATTATTGATTTTTTTTCTGAAGCTTGAAAAACACACAGATACTATGGAGTGCTCAAATTGTCAGGATAACTTATTTCACAAGGTAAGTTTTAAACTGTTGTTACAATCTTAGTTAGTTAAAATTAACAGTTTCCAGATAAATGACAATATAGTTGAAATAAATTATTGTTTGGTTTATATAGGTGGTAACAGATACAAATATGGTTGAAATACATTTCTTTAGGAACAACCCCACTTTAAAAAGATTCTATTTTAAGACTAAGATTAATCAACACAGCTGAATTCAGAATCAACAAGAAAGTTTGAATAAAAAGTATTAAAAAAAAATAATAATTGACAGTTGTATTTTTAATAAATATATGGATTTTTTAATTCTTATGTAGCAATTTAGTTAATAATTGTTTTCCCTTACAGTTTGATGGCAAAACAAAACCAGTGCACGGTAAGATATTTTAATTATTCATGCAGTTTATTGTCATTTGATGTCTCTTTAGTCATACATGCCTATTTCTTTCTTTCCTTTAAAACTTGTAACTATGCAGTGACAGTGTGTACCTGTTTATTTGACTAATGGAACATTTTTCATCATGTTTAACTAATCCATTCCTCATATGCATCTAAATGATGTTCTCATTCCTTGCCTTGAATTATCCTTATTTGCTCCATATATATATATATATATATATATATATATATATATATATATATATATATATATATATATATATATATATATATATATATATATATATATATATATATATATATATATATATATATATATATATATATATATATATATATATATATATATATATATATATATATATATAGGTCTATATTGTTCTTATTACAGTGTTACCAGATTATTCATGAAAAAACTTTCTATTACTTTAGCCGCCACTACAGAAAATCTAATTACACCAGTAACTGCTCATGTATCAATCACACAGGGATTAAAACATCAAGGTTGGTTGAAGAGACATCTCTCACAATAACACTAAACAATATTATACTTTAGGCAAAGGATATCACAGTCAGCACATCAATATCATATACATCACTTAAAAAATCAGTGTTTGTATTGTTATGTTGCTAACAGTTGTTTCTCTAATCTATACTGTGCATGAGTTTTTTTCACTTATATGTTATATTTAACAATTGGTTCAACTGTTAACATTTCGCTTTATTAAAAGTATACAAACTCATTGTATACAGTTTTGACATCCCCAACAACAATGTTCTATAAAAAATTCTCAATGAAATAATCTCTTAAAACAATAAACTTCAATGTTTCAAATGTTAACTAAGTTTGTTGTCTTATAATTACAGCATTAAAAATTCTAAAGAATTTACTTAAAATGTTTAGGCCTATGAATATTGATATGAATATTCTGTTTTAAGATTAATAACATTAATATTTATTTCAGATCTTTCGTTTAGCAAAAACCATGTTGATCTTGAGATCAATCTGCATTCACCTGCAAATCATTTTCGCGGTGTCGTCATTCATGAAAATAAAATAATTATTTTACATTCAGGTAGGCCATTGTATTTGCTGTTTATGTTAACAAAAATCTAACCATATAATAAAATAGCCTTTCTCATCTCCAATGATATATATTTTCCTGTAAAATTTTGTTAATATAAAATAATATTATAATTTATAATAAAATAAATTTTCAAACACATTATTTAGTGAGCATATTATATTTTAAAGTTTATATTTAAAGTTGTAAACATATGTATTTAATAATACCTGTCCATTTTATTTTCAGGGTTATATTATTTATATAGCAGCATTGACTTTAAACCAAATTCTACAAAGTCTTCAAAAGACTTTACTTACCAGGTAAAGTTTGTTTTATTTCCAATAACAACTTGAAAATAAATACTATTTATAAAGTAGAAGAGGCTGCTAATTTTGTTTTGTAATGTTATAGTATAGGCATAATGAGTTTTTTTTAAATTTGACAGACATGGTTTCACTATGTCCACAAGTCTAACATAAACAATCCGCATCGGTCAGGAGTTTTGTTGAGGACAGTCCACACATGCTGTCCTGACTGTGTGGACAGTCGCGAGACAGCATACACAGGTAAGAATAATTTTAAATTTTAAAACAAAATGTCAATATTGTTAACATTTATATAGTTTTTGGATATCATATATGATATATTATTGTATGGCATGGCGAAGTGGTAGAGCACTAGGCTGCTAACACAAAAGCCTAGAGTTCAAATCTGGGTTCATGTCAGTAGACCGTCCTTGAGTCCAGCCAGCTGTGATGGGTACCTAACACATGTTAGAGAAAGTAAATGCACTAGGCAAAGTGCTGACCACATCTTCCCTTCATATACCAAGGTCAATAAGCATATGAGCTTTAATTCATATGCACAATAGATTGTTAGGTCTAGAGAGGAATCTTCACTATTTTTTTTAAAAATATATCCATGTAGGTGTTCTATGTAAATATTTTAAAATCTTTATTGAGGCAGATAAAGTTAGCTGGTTGGACGGTCATTTTAATAAAAACCTCAGAACAATAAGTTTAGAGATATGCAGAATGCCATAAGATCTATTTTAAAATGAAGCTCAATTTCTGTGAAAAATTAATATAAAAAGAATTTAATCCATTATGAACTACAAGTGTGTGTGTGTGTTTGGGAAGGGGGGTGGGGCGCTGAGGTTGATGCCACACAACCTCACTTCTTAATTTATAATTAGATATTGAGCTCATGCTCCGACTTACAAGTGAACCATTAGTTAAGTCATATATTTAGGCCTATATATATATATATATATATATATACATATATATATATATATATATATATATATATATATATATATATATATATATATATATATATATATATATATATATATATATATATATATATATATATAATTAGGCCTATTTATATGTGTATTGTTGGCTTATATTTTTATTTAGATTTATATGGGCCCTTATATAAAAATTACACCTTTGTATATTCCAGGTGGAGCATTTTACCTAGAAGCAGGAGACACCATCCAATCATGTGTGTCTGTTCAAGGTGTGGTCTCCGTCGATGACCGTTCATCCTTTTTAGGGCTGGTGATGCTGAACAGCCAAGAAAGCACGGCAGACGAGGTACCCTGACAAGTGAAGCTAACGTGACTATTCTGCCAACGCCCTACCCTATAGATCTGTTAGCCTATAGGCCAGCATTCTATAATTTCACTATGATGGGTACCTGACCCAGGGAAAATGAAGGCGGGTGCAAGTAGTGTTGACCAGATTTTGCCTTCAAATGCTGTTAGCGCTGAAGCAGGTGAACTCTATGCCATTCACAATATCAACCGGTGGTTGAAAGTACACATTTTATACAGGCCTAAACTATGAGTGCTATGTGCGCTAAACTTAGCTTACCTGCCCCAATCATTTTGGTATAATTATATTTATAAGATATTAATATGGGACAGAGTGGCCTAGCCCTAGAGAGCTAGACTGCTAACCCGTAAGTTTCGAGTTCAAGTCAGTAGACTGTCTCTTAGTATACACAGAAACGTCCTTAATATATAGGTAAAGAAGGGCACTAAGAGCTACACTTTTTGGAACCTGTACATTTTTAAAGATTTTTTCTAATCCAAGTATTTTCTAATATTGAAATTAATGCAAAATTATTCTAACACATCTTACACAATATAAAAATAATAATAAAGGCTATTACATTTACTTTCAAGAGTTAAGATTCTTGGATCTAAAAAGGGAAGGTACTAACTAATCTGCCTTGATGCTTTCCCCTGATAAGCCATGTGTGCTATACATTACATAACATGACATGGACATGAAAAATGTTGAGGGGAGAGCATTTGTACTGATTTCCCCTTTGTTCTCCTTGCTGGACCCTGAGGGCCATAAATTACATAAGAGGTGCTATCTCTTGTTGGCTGGGATTATAAATGACATAAAATGAATCCTCTGCTTCTCTGTTATGTTATCAAAGAACAGCAGTGGTTGTTACCTCCGAAGTAGATTAGCAGTGTTATTGGGGGTTTTGTGGGGGTGGGGAGTTGATCGGGTCTTAATACCAAACGGCTCTTAGTGCCCTGCTTTCCTAATTGTTATATGTTATTTTTATTGAGATCTGGATCTTAAAAATGTGAAGTGTTGCTTTATTATGTTATACATGTGCTAGACGTACATCTTTAGACAAAGTAAATATTGTTTAGTTATGCTTTGATGTCAAATTAAGGTTGGGCAAAATGTACAGATAAGTGGTAACCGATCACTATGTAGGCCCACTGATGTTTTTAGTAAATATATTTGAGAGCTGTATAGAAAGTATAATTTTATATTTTTATTAAAATAGCGCTATTCAACATTTCATTTGAAATTGGAAATGTTTTTGTTTGGTATATTAACATTTTGTTACATTTGGTAACAATGCAACCAAATTTATACATTATATGTTTAATGTAATTATGTTTGTCTTATTAAAAACAGTATTAACCTAGGCGTAATTTGGCTAAGTGTTTAAACCATTTATTCCAGTTAGTAGCCTATTTTTTAAAATAAGAAAATTCTTATTTGGTTTATTTTAATTTTTTTTTTATCTTAAAATATTTAAACATGGTAAAACTAGTGTTTAGAGCTCATGATAAATTCATTTGCCTAAAAATATTTTGCTTAGGCCTACATTTATAAATATCCACCATGTCAGAATTAGAGTTAACAGATCAACGTTGAAAAATCGATATTTTAAAAAATCTGGCAAAACACATGCGTTTTAATTCTTATTTTAATCATGTTGATCAAGCTTAATTAGCCCAATAAAAGTTGATGCCAGTTCAACATCTACTAGCCCTTGACCTGATAAACAAACTTGAATTGCCTCCCCTTGTTTCAGGTCGAACACACCACCTAGAAGAACACAATAATTTAATACCTCATTATTATAGTTCATGATGGATGTTACATTTTTGTGAGATTCGATTGTTATGAAATGTTTTATTAAACTCATTGATTATATAAATATTCATTACTTTTTAACAAAGTAATTTATTTTATTAAGTTATTTTACAAAATTATTTCAAAATTCCACTGTTACGTCCCTTACATGTCCCCTGCTTGTGTGTGTGTGTGTGTTGTGTGCTGGAACGACAGGTACCCTCCCTGTGGTGTATAGTTGTAGCCCTTGGTTGAGTGTGTTTACATGGAGCAAGAGGTGTTCACGTGAGGTGTGTCAGAGCGTGTGCTAGTGTGTGAATCAGTTAGTTGTAGTGTGGCTGTGGACGTGGAACGTGGTGTTGAGTATTGTATTTATGTTGTAGACCCCTTTGATCTTCTTATTATTTTATTACTGTATATATTTATATTAAACATCTTATTATTATTATATTTATAGAGTGTTAGTGTTATCTACTGTTGTATACGTCGTATTTGTCTGTTATATATATACACCCCTAGACCGAAGAACCCAACATTGGGGGCTCGTCCGGTTAACATGGCGACCACCAGGAGCTCCAGAAAACAGTTGATCAGCGACTTGAAGGAGGAGGGAAAGCTAATCGGGCTGAGTGATGACAGTTTGGCGGTGTGGGTAAAGGAAGAGTTGAGGAGGGTAGAAGATGTGAAGGGCGATGTTGTAGCAAAGATAAGTAACCCTGTACCCCTCTTGAGGACGTGGCGGCAATGCCGGTAGACAAGGACTTGGGTGCTTCTGTGAGACACTTTGAAAGTCAAGCCAAGAGACAAGGTATTGACCCCAAGGACTGGTCGCTCCTTCTGACGGACAAGATGAGTGGCCACCTGAAGACTTTCCTCGTTGAGACGGGACTGAACCTGTATCATGACTTCGAGTCAGTTAAGGTAAAGCTAATGACGCACGCGGGTTTCAACGAGGAAAAGTATAGGGTCAGATTCCACCAGCTAGTACCAACACACGACGACATGAGAAGCTTCGCAGTCAACACAGAAGCCGCTTTGAGAGCGTGAGTCCGGCAGTCGGGAATAAAGGAAACGTTTGAGGACTTGGTGAACCTCCTAACAGTTGATTGGATAAAATCAGTCGTCACACGTGTTCTGTTGGAGAGGCTGAACGGTGCTGCTAAGTTAAGTGTGTAAGATAATCTTAGAGTTATTGACAACTATAAGAGCACTCAAAACGCTAGAGTGACGAGGCCAGTAAACCAAACCCATCCGTACGTCGCTGCTAGTTCTACAGCAGAGAGGATACCCTGGCAAAACAAGACACCGCGATCTCCAGGACGCCACACTTGTCCTTCCACGGAAGAAATTGTGTGCTACTCATGCGGGGGAGTTGATCATATCGCGAGAGTCTGCCCCACCTCTAGACGGGACAAGAACGAAACAGGTAAACGGCAGGCACGACTAGCTGGTGTACAGCCTATGCATGGTGTCAGCAAGGTCAGCCTGAGCAGTAAATGTTTCACATGTGGACGTCATGGACACTATGCCAGGGATTGTCATAGCAATAGTAATAGCGGCTTTACTTGGAGAAATAGGGCAGATAAAAGAGCTGTTGTGGAGTATGGAAACAACAAAAGACCTTATCGGTGCTACAAATGCAATGAACAAGGTCACGTTGCCAAAGAGTGCAGTATGGATATAGATCCAGGCGCCTGTTATAGCTGTAGAAAGCCAGGCCACATACAACGAAACTGTCCAAACGGGACCAGTAGAGCGTGCATCTAGCGTACTGAAAATGTACATCGACGGTCAGATGATCTCAAGTGTTATTGCTGCGGTGGTGTTGGTCACATATCACGGGTGTGTCCCACAGCTCAGCGTGATATGTTAGGAAATTTTTACCTGCTTAAAGACTCGCATATGAGAGTGAGGTAAAACACAAAATTGAGAGGCGTATCCTTACAAAGGTAGTGTCCTTGGTAAGTTTTTTGTTAAGATAGTTTATTCAATCAATGTTAATTTTTCTTTGTTTTTTTTTTTACAGAAGCTGTGTATGATGATTACGGGCTGGAGATGATTGATGTAGTTAAAACGGCTATCGAGAAGGGTACTCAGTTTGATCGCCTTTAAGGAAAGATGACCATCTATGGCGACGTACGCATCTACCGATGGGCCCTTGCACTACAGGAATTAGCCTGTACTGTGAAACATATCAAGGGAACTGAGAACTTTGTAGCAAACAATCTATCAAGAGTGTTTTACGACAACTAGTGTATATGATTTTATGAAATTTATTATTGTTGGAGTATAGTATGATTATGTTAAGGAATTTACTATTTGGGCATTATAATATGATTATATTGAGAAATGTTTGAGAAAGGTATTACTGATGCAGTATAGAATGATTATACTGATTATTTTTTTATTGTGGCTTCTCACATGTATCATTATAGGTTGAGATAGTCAGACCACGAGCTTGGTGCCCGGCCGGAGAAAACCATAGTGCACTCTCAGGACCGAAATGTTCAAGCTGGATACAAACCACACTCTGGACCCAATTGTCCAGGCTGGATACAAGCCACACTCTGGACCAAACTGTCCAGGCTGGATACAAGCCACACTCTGGACCCAATTGTCCAGGCTGGATACAAGCCACACTCTGGCAAACTGTCCAGGCTGGATACAAGCCACACTCTGGACCCAATTGTCCAGGCTGGATACAAGCCACACTCTGGACCGAACTGTCCAGGCTGGATACAAGCCACACTCTGGACCCAATTGTCCAGGCTGGATACAAGCCACACTCTGGACCCAATTGTCCAGGCTGGATACAAGCCACACTCTGGACCCAATTGTCCAGGCTGGATACAAGCCACACTCTGGACCCAACGGTCAAAAAACGAGGCGTCCTAAGGACAAAAGAATAAATAATCGAGCTCGGGCACCAACAGTGGCTAATGGAACAAGAGATGTTTGATCTCTTTGAAGAAAAAGAGATCTGAAGGTGGAGGGAAGGGATGTTACGTCCCTTACATGTCCCCTGCTTGTGTGTGTGTGTGTGTGTGTTTTGTGTGCTGGAACGACAGGTACCCTCCTTTTGGTGTATAGTTGTAGCCCTTGGTTGAGTGTGTTTACATGGAGAGAGAAGTGTTCACGTGAGGTGTGTCAGGTGACGGGTGCCAGTGTGTGAAGCAGTTAGTTGTAGTGTGGCTGTGGACGTGGAACGTGGTGTTGAGTATTGTTATTTATGTTGTAGACCCCATTTGATCTTTTATTATTTTATTACTGTATATATTTATATTAAACATCTTATTATTATTATTATATTTATAGAGTGTTAGTGTTATCTACTGTTGTATACGTTGTATTTGTCTGTTGTTATATATATACACCCCTAGAAGGAAGAACCCAACATCCACCATAAATAATCTTTTTAATAAACCCCATTAAAATTATTATTTAGTACTATTATGAATAGTTGTGTTTTTATTGTTTTCCAACATATATTTAATTATATGTTGTATGTATTTTAGTTTTAAAAAGACGTTAAGTTCAGAGTTTCTTCCAGGCATCTCTTCGGGGGGGCGAAGCCCCCCCGAAAAATTTTTACCGCCCCCCCGAACGAAATGAAATTTATATAATTTATATAGAAAATATATACTTTTAACAGTGTCCGCCCCCCCGAAGAAAGTTTACCGCCCCCCCGAAGATTTCAGGTGCCCCCCCGGAGAAAAAAGTCTGGAAGAAACACTGGTTAAGTTGTGCATATTTTTGCAAAAAACGAAAGCTATTTTATCACAACTCTCTTTCGAGTTTGTTACGAACAAAATTTTTTAGATTTTTAAACTATGGAATACCACCAACAACAACATTTCGGAATTCAAAAATGTCAATTTTTACCATTATAAGCCGTTTCCTTGCTGCCCACACAGTCATCGCAGACGGTATGGACAGATCTGAGTAGAACACCGGACCTCATAGGCTGTAGTTGGCTCACACGATGGACGTAGTGGAACCAGGTCTAGAGGGTAGTAGACAATAGTTGATTTTACGTGTTGGTATTTAGATGGTAGAGAGTTGATTTTATGTGTTGGTATTTAGAGGGTAGAGAGTAGTTGATTTTATGTGTTGGTATTTAGAGGGTAGACAGTAGTTGATTTTACGTGTTGGTATTTAGAGGGTAGAGAGTAGTTGATTTTACGTGTTGGTATTTAGAGGGTAGAGAGTAGTTGATTTTACGTGTTGGTATTTAGAGGGTAGAGAGTAGTTGATTTTACGTGTTGGTATTTAGAGGGTAGAGAGTAGTTGATTTTACGTGTTGGTATTTAGAGGGTAGAGAGTGGTTGATTTTACGTGTTGGTATTTAGAGGGTAGAGAGTAGTTGATTTTACGTGTTGGTATTTAGAGGGTAGAGAGTAGTTGATTTTACGTGTTGGTATTTAGAGGGTAGAGAGTAGTTGATTTTACGTGTTGGTATTTAGAGGGTAGAGAGTAGTTGATTTTACGTGTTGGTATTTAGAGGGTAGAGAGTAGTTGATTTTACGTGTTGGTATTTAGAGGGTAGAGAGTAGTTGATTTTACGTGTTGG